AACCCTCATCTTTCTCCTCCTCAAGCTCAATCTTCTTCTCTAATGGAGCCCTCTCGAAGCAGAGACTGACCTCAGTCTCAGTACGGAGAGCTGGCCCCACATCGGGACGCCGTCTTGGTTGCCGTTGTCTCTTTGGGCTCGGAGTTCCGGAGCTCGTCGTCATTGCTGGAGTCGCTGCGTTGGTGTTTGGGCCGAAGCAGTTGCCTGAGATTGGACGGAACATTGGAAAGACCGTGAAGAGCTTTCAGCAGGTTCGATTCTTGGCTAGTTTATTTTCTAGGGTTTCTAATATCGGGGTAACTAAAGGTTTTGAGTAGTGATAGCTGGGGAATTTCACATTTGTGTGGTGTGTAGATGCGAGGTTTTGAGTAGTTATAACTGATTATTAGAATTTGTTTTGTTTTCAATGTGAAATCAGCAGTGAAACAAGGACGGAACTTTCCTAAATAAAATAATTATTATAGGATTTGGATCCTATTCGCTATAGAAAAAAAAGTAGTGGAGAGATCACTGCAATATCACAACTGTTGATGATATGCTTGATAGATGGTTTTGATTTTATTTGAATGTAAATTAGGAAAATAGTGTAATTCGTGATGGTACGGCGAGTGTTAAATATTGAAGGAATCGCAGCTGTCCACTGAAGAAATCAACAGTTGTAATATTGCAATGGACTCTCCATTACTTTTTTTTTTGTGGTAGTGGAGTGGATACAAATTCAATATTATGAGTTTAATAAATTGAAGAGAGCGAGGCTGATGATAGTTTTTAATTCAAAATAAAGTGGATTATGTTAAAAGGTCCCTTCCAATTCACCAAATATCCAAAGTTGTCTGTGATAGTTGAGGGTTATATAGTTTCACACTCTAGCATTTCCCTTTAGGTTGAGCCTATTTTTTATAGGATGAAATCGGACTCAAACAATCGTACTTTTTTAAGTTGTCCTTAAATTTATGGCTTGTGGGATTTTAAAGGTGGCCATCCTATAGGTCCCGTCTAAAGTTCTACTTCCCCAAGACATTGAAGTTGTGCTTAGACCATCTCCAACCCATTACACCAAAATAGTGTAAATTTTGCACCGAAATGGTACAAAAATCACATCTAACAGTAATTCATTTCCAACCCACTGTACCATTTTTTGCACCAAAAAATAATATTCTTAGTATATTCCTTTTTATCTACTTTTATATTATTATTTTTTATTCCCTATATTTTTAACTATTTCAACAATTAACCCCACATATCAAATTTTATTTTTTTCACATATTCCTTTTTATCTACTTTTAATTATAATGTCTAGATTTTAATATTATAATTAATAATAATGTCTTTTAAATTTTAACATTATTTTTATAATTAAAAAAATAATTTATTTTGTCCAAATTATACAATTGGAGTAAAATTATAAAATTTAAATATTATCAGGGTTGTTTTATAAATTTAAATAAAATATGAACAGTAATGAAGCGATGAACAGTGCGACTCCATATTTGGTGTAGCACTGTTCAAATGCACCAAAATGACGCAAGAAATAGGGCAGGGTTGGAAAAGGAACAGTGCCAAAAAATATACTGTTTGCACCATTTTGGTGCTGGGTTGGAGATGCCCTTAGGGGTGAGGGTTATAGGTTTACACTAAGGTGCCGTTTGACAACGGGTTAAGTGAGGGGTTAAGGAAACTTAACCTCTTCTTAACCCGTCAAGCACAAAAAATCTATAGAAGGGTTAAAGTGAGTTAACCCTTCATAATTTTTTAAATGTAAAAAATACATAAGGGTTAAGCTAACCCCTCTAGAAGGGTTAAATTGTGTTAACCCCTAAAAATGAGGGGTTTACTAATACTTCTGTTTAGAAGGATTAAGAGTTAACCCCTCTATATATAAAGAAAATAGTCAAAATCCTCGTTATTCACAAGCACTAAAACTGATCACAAGTGCTAAAATAAAACTTATTTAACGGATTAATAATTTAGTCCTTCAGATTATCAAATGGGCTAAGTACATTAACTCTTCCCTAACCTGTCAAATACTCATTTGTCATTGAGGGATTTGTTAACCCGTGTGGGGGTTAAAACTATTTAACCCGTCATTTTGATGGGTAAATATTCTATCAGTAGAGACGGTGTACGATTTAAGCCGCTTATGGTTGAGGGTGTAGGGTGTAATCAAGTATTTTAATTGTAAATTGTAAGACCCATACAATCGAGTGGTGGTATTTTAAGTTGCAATGTGGCAAGGGGTTTACTGAGGAGGGTTAGGGAGAAGGATTAAATTAGTTAGGTCAAAATGAGTGGATAAACAATAATTATATTCCATTTGGATTAATTATATAGTTAAGGAAACTTGTAATGCAAATTGTATAAGTAAAGCCACATTCATCCCCAAGTGAAAATAAAACGATAATTGAACATGTTCCAGGTTAATAAGCAACATAAAGTAAGAGTAAAACCACTTAGCAGTAGTTGGCCCTTACAATTTACAATCGAAATATTAAGATATTAAAACATAAATTACACACTATTTAAGTACGTCACATAGCTACGGTGAATTAAAATATTAAAGTAGCTCCCCCAACTCAGTTCGAATACTGAAATACTAAAATGTTAAATTACCCACTACTTGTGTAACCATGGTTAATGATAATATTAAAATACTAAAGCTGTTTGCTCTAACTCTGATTTTGAAATATTAAAATATTAAAGTACGACCACTCAATCATATGACTTTTTGAAATATTAAAATATTAAAGTACGATCACTCAATCAAATGACTTTTACTATGTGCAACTAAATAATATTATTACACATTGTACCCTCGACTTACCCATCCCTGGATGTAGGTTAAATCTTACACCACTACACCGAATAACCCGTCAATTTGGTTAACTGGTCTTAACCCCTTGACTGACGAACCCCACCACCGCAAACAATTACTATGCATGTTTGCAAAGGGTTAAGCCATCCACTAACCCTTTATCAAACAAAGCCTAATATGTTAATACTTCAAAATTACAGATTTAGAGTTAGCAACTTTAATATTTTAATATTTTCATTCACCATGCCTACACAAGTAATGTGTAATTTACATTTTAATTTTAGTATTCTCACTGAGTTAGGGTTAGGTACTTTAATATTTTAATTCACCATGGCTATGCGAAGTATTGAGAAGTGTATAATTTACAATTTTAACATTTTGATATTTTAATTGTAAATTGTAAGGGCCAATCATTGTTAAGTAGAGCTACTCTCGTGTTATATTTCTTATTAACATGAATCATGTTCATTTATTGTTTCGTTTTCACTTGGGGATGAATGAAACTTTACTTATATAATTTGCATTACAAGTTTACATCATACCTATTGAAATTTGAAAGTTTTGCCCAAAGCCATATTTTCTTTTGCAAACTATGAATATGTACACACTAATTTATTGTGTACTGGCATTTTGGAGAGGGAGAAAAAATATAAATTTTGAACAATTGTTAGTAATTTTTTCTACTTTTGATAAGGTTAAAATTGGGACTTTAGTTTAATTAACCTCAATCCTTCTTTAGCCAAACATGGAAAAAAGTTAACCTTCCCATATATATCTAATCCACATGGAATATAATTATTTTTAACCCCTCGTGATGGGTTAACTAATTTAGTCATTCTTCTTAACCCTCATCACACCCCTTGCCAAACGGCACATAACGGAGGATGGGAGGCTAATGGTAGTTAACTGCTGCAATCTTATTGATCACTGTTTTAAAAAGCCTCCGTCTAGTCCGTTTAGGCGTACGCCTAGGCCTAGGCAGTACCTATGCCGTCTAACTAGCGTCTAGGCGGTATTTAGGCTGCCCATCTAGATTTTACGAGCGTTTAGGGGAGCATTGTCTGCTTATGTTGATTGCACCTTTTAGGCATTGGTTGTGATTTTATGTGTTGTAGCCTACACGTCCTCCAAACTCCATTAACCTCTAAATATGAACACCTCCACTACCTCCTCCGACCTTCAACAAAACCTCATCGACCACCACTTAAATGAAAAAAAAAATCCGCCTAGACATCAGTCCGGCATCTAAGTTTTCTATAACATTGACATTCGCTATCAATTATTGTAATTAAAAAAAACATCTTAGGCTCTAGCCTTGTTAATTATTGTTTTAGCTATTTAGTATCTAAGTATGCATGATTTATTGTGGAACTAAGATCGCTATCTTTTTTTAAAAATTTATATGAATTTAATACATATTTTTATCAATTATTATAATTAAATAATTTAAAAATAGTTAAATGCCTTAGGCGCTGCATAGGCGTATGCCTAGGGGTCTAGGCGTTAGGTGTTGCTCAAACGCCTAGTGTCTTCTGTAACATTGCCGAGCTCCCCCGATCTTTATAACTACTTACAAGGTAAATAGTACTTCTTAAATATCTATTTAAGTTAGTTAACAACAGTAACTTAAACTTAAGAAGTGTAAGTTAACAGTAAACTTAAGTTTAAGTTTAAGTTTAAGTTAAACTTAAATTTAAGCTAACAGTAAACTTAAGTTTAAGTTTAAGTTTAAGTTAATATTAAATTTTTTGTTGATGATAAATTTAAGATTAAGTAAATAGTAAACTTAAGTTAACAATAAACTTAAGTTTAAGTTTATTGTTAACTTAAACTTAACAGTAACTTATAAGTTAACAGTATATATATATATATATATCTTCAAGTATCACAATTAAAAAAGAAAAAAGAAAAAAACGCTCAGAAACTGCTTAGGCGCCCGCCTAGGCGACTAAGCGCTGGGCGCAAAGTCCGACGCCTAGAAGCGTCCAGCGTTTATTGTAACATTGTTATTGATAGTAATCGATTACAAACACCTAACTCACAATTAACATCTATAAGCTAGTTGTCGTATGTTTATCAAGCAGAATTATTGATAGATTATAAGAAATAAGCCATTAAGAATAACAATCAGCAGGGAGAATAATTGATCATTGAGAGAAGAAATTGGGAATACATGCTCAAATACCAATTACCCATGTAAATATCAGGATGGTAGTCATGTTTTGGAGATTCGATATACCTTTGCTTCAGTCTTAGACAATTTTACTGGTGCTATCGCATATAGGAGATGGAAGTTATCAAGAATATTTTTTGTATTCCTTGGAATGTAAGAAACAAGTGAAATTATATTCAAATCATTCACTAGTATCATCATAGTATCAGTCATATTAGTATCAGTCATATAAGGCTTTTCACATGCAAATGAGGTTGACTATGGAGCACAACCTATGTTGAGAAGATACCACATAAGAAAGGTAATTCTTTTCAACTATCCATCAGTCTAAGACCAATGTTTGAATTCTAGCGGCCAATCTCTAGCCAAGGAAATTGTGGATGAGAAAAAGGCTTTCTTTGAAACTTCGTTGACCAATTGACAAGTAGAAAACTTCCTTATTAGTAATGAATCTAATGCAACCTTCCAACATGCTATTATACTAAGAAAAAAGCTGGAAATGTTGGTTATGATGACAAATTCCCATGGATTATACTCATTTAGCGGTATGGCATATGCAAAAACGCATGCGGAAGATAATAGCCAAATTTTGCAAATATTAAATATGAAGGTTTTTAGTTTTTATCTATGAGGCTAATGGAAGTAACAAAGTAGATATGCTAGAACCTTAGATTAACATAAAGTAATCATGTGGAGAAAATATTTGGCATCTGTAAAGAGCAAGGACAATAACTGTTTCAAGTAGACTAGTATTCTCTCACAAAGGCAATGGTTTTGTTTTCTGACACTACATGTCTGTACTGTATTTACCACGATGTTAAGGATATCTTGCTTAGGCCTGACATACAACTGTATGTATAGCATATGGAGCAACAGCCAAACAAGGACCTATGAGGAGAACATTGTGGATCTTAAGACTATTTCTATATAGTAAATAGAAAATTTTGTAAATCTTAGGACTGTATTAACGTTGACTAATCATTTACAATTTATCACTGATAAAACTCTTCGCAAAGAAAGAAGAATATATCCATGTATTATTTTAATAAAAGTTGGAACAGAAATTCTTCCTCCATTGCAAGTTCTAACTATGAAGTAGGTTGTCAGTTGCAAGCTGAGATATAACAAGTAAGGCTCTTTGGCTTGTTCAGTTGAACTTTATGCATTGTCAAGGACTGAAAGAGTATCACGGGTTCTAAAGGATCATGAGATGGGATTGAATTTCCTCAACATGCAAGCTGGAGGTCAGAAGGTTTCTTTAGTCTTCTTTGTGTCTTTCATGAAAATGGGCCTATTCTCCACTTGAATTGGGTTGCAGTGGCACAAGAGGGGTGGAGAAAGTGAAGAGGTTGAGGTTGGTTCTGTGTGAGCTACTGGCAGTCTAGTGGGACCACAGATTGCGTAGCTCCTCACTTGTTTTCCAGGATTAATCTATACTTTAATGGTCCTTAGTACTAGTTTGATGTGTGCAATGCATAATTTGCATTATATAGAGTTGAATATTCGTCGAGTATTCGTACAAGAAAACCACATTAATGCTAGCGAAAACAGAACTCAACATGATGTGTTCATAAAGAGGATTTAATTTTCAGTAAATATCTCCGACATATTAGGTTTGAGCTGACCTTTCAGTAAGTACTGGACCGCTATTGTTCCCAGCATGGTATTTCACACATAGTAATCAATATTCTGGTTCATTCAATTGCTGGTTTGTTCTTTGTCTTTATTGCTCACTCAACATGATTATCCTAGGATTGTACAATTTTGTTAGAAGGATAACAATTAGAATGCTCATTACGTTAAATTTGTCAAATGTTTATGTACAGGAGATGTATATTCATCGACTATGATTCTTCTATACTTAAACCTGATATGTTGTGTGACATCCACAGTTGATAAGTATTGGACCGCTATTGTTCCCAGCATGGTATTTCACACATAATCTTCAATATTCTGGTTCATTCAATTGCTGGTTTGTTCTTTGTCTTTATTGCTTACTTATCATGATTACACTAGGATTGTACAATTTATTAGAAGGATAACAATTAGAATACTCAATACGTTAAATTTGTCAAATGTCTAGGTGCAGGAGATGTATATTCATTGACTATGGTTCTTCTATACTTAAACCTGATATGTTGTGTGACATCCACTGTTGATAAGCCATTCCTCTGACTGCCATGATGCTGACATTTATAATTTAAAACCTCGGAAACAATTGATCCTTCCACATAATAACACAATTAATAGTTAGAGAATCAATGCTCACTCCATATGTATATAACCTTTGATAGCATTAACAAACATATTCAAAGTAAATTAAAATTTGGAATGAAAAGGCTTAGGTTTGTTTCATATTGGCCTCATGCTTACTAGATTCAGCTGTTCCTCGCAAAAGACTAGAAAAATTATTTCCAGGCTCACAACACAAGTGCTATTTGTTGATTAATGAAATTTCTTTTTCCTAAAATCATAGCATCAAGATCACATGCTATGCATGCTCCATATTCCATTGTGTATCTTTTCTACATTTAATAGTTAGAAACATAGTTACGTGGAACCCGGTTCATTCCGGTTCACGGGAGGTGTACGGGAACATGGTACCTACTTATTCGGAATCGGGTATGAGGGGGGTAGACTTATATGGTAACCAGGGAATGTGGTACGATTTAGGCTCAGTTCTTAAATATAGGAAGTAGAGGTTTTGCAAGAGTCAAACTTCAGAGATGTGCTAGTTGATATCAGTAATGGTAAAAGAACCTTAAGAATTATGTTGCAATTAAGGTATGCATACTATATTTGCTTAATTTCTCACATTTTTTGTTGTTTATTCTTTTAAAAAAGAGTTATATATTTTTTTGCAAAATTTTAATTAATTTGAATTCTAAGTCGGATTGTTGGAGTTGGTGAATCAGATCGTGTTCTACATGAATCTGGGAAAATTGAACCCGGGTCACGGTTCGCTATAGCGTTCCACATTCCCAACTTCTGTGGTTAGGAAGGAAGTGCCAAAGGTTGCTAGCTCAAAACCTTAGTATATACTTCCATGTGGAGAGAAGCTAATCATACTTAATTGACGAATTAAACAATTTATTTTTAGTAATATACTTCACTATATTCCTTTTAATTTCTAGAACTTAACCATTCTTTCTGACTTCTGCATCTCTCAAACTTGATTTCAGGCAGCCAAAGAATTTGAGACAGAGCTGAAGAAGGAACCCGACGAGGGGAGTAAGCCCTCTCTTCCAGAAGATCCTAAAGCTTCTAGCAGCGAAGACGAGAAAAAGGAACTTGAAACATCGGGCACAACAGAGAACATTTGAAATCATTAGATTAAATTTGTTTCGAGTGTCTCTTTGTAGTTCTAGCTGTTAAATATATGGCCTGTATGAATTGTATCCTTATTAAAATTGCGGTTGATGTGGCAGCATTTGGCTGAATAATGTGCAGTATGTTGGCTGTTTATTGCCTCGATGCTACGAGAGCATCCATTATTTGAACATGAGCATGTTTTGTTGGGGATGCACAACCCCTCTGATGCGATTTGAAAAAAAAGATTTAGGAGAGGAGAGAAAATCAAACAATCTCAAACACACAAGATTTACGTGGTTCGCTTCTCAATGTGAGAAACTACGTCCACGGCCGCCGCAGGAGAAAAATTCACTATTTTTCGTCTCTATACATCATGCCCTAGCCAACCCTTTTATAGACTTAAGGGTTTAACCAATAAAAAAGGAAACAGAACAAAACAGGTTAAAATTCGAAACTGGGCCAAAACCCGACTCCGGTCGACCGCAGCACCACGTGCGGTCGACCGCGACGAATCCTATTCCTGATCGAGCTCTCTGGACTTTGGGCGGTCGACCGCAGCGCCATGTGCGGTCGACCGCGATGCTGTCTGCAGTCTGGACTTGCTCTCTGGACTTTTGCCGGTCGACCGCAATGCCATGCTCGGTCGACCGCGATGAGCTCCTGGCCTGTGCACCCAGCTGTGCACGACGTCGGTCGACCGCCGCGCCATGGCCGGTCGACCGCGATGCAGAAAACTGTCTCCTTCGTCGTTTTGCTTGAACTTCTCCATCGTCGATCCTGTTCCTCCTGTTCCAACTTTGTTACTCCTCTCTTCTGAAGTATAGGGCATGCTTGATAGTTAGACTTCACATATCCTAACAATCTCCCACTTGGAGACTAACTATCAATCTCTTCCAACTCTCTCTGCGGCGACGGCCTCCATATCATCAAGTGCAGAGGCCAACTGAAGTTGAACACAACTTCAGTTTCTCTGTAGTGACAACCTTGGTAAGCATATCAGCTGGGTTCTTGCTTCCTTGAATCTTCACAAGTTCCAACATGTCCTCGTCCAACGCTGATCTTATGAAGTGGTAGCGGACCTGTATGTGTTTGGTCCTTGCATGAAAAGCGGGATTCTTTGCCAAATGAATTGCGCTCTGGCTATCACAATGTAGGACACTCTTCTCACTTTTCTGTCCCAGCTCCTCCAAGAAGCCCTGCAACCATATCATCTCCTTGCTTGCCTCTGTCACAGCAACATATTCAGCCTCTGTCGTTGATAAAGCAACGATCTTCTGCAACTGAGAAACCCAACTAATAGCTGTAGAGCCCAAAGTGAATACATATCCTGTAGTGCTCCTTCTCTGGTCTATCTCACCAGCATAGTCTGCATCAACAAAACCCTGCAGGACTAACTTGCCTCTCCTGAAGCATAAGCAATCTTCTATAGTACCTCGCAGGTATCTCAGAATCCACTTTACTGCTTCCCAGTGCTGCTCTCCTGGATCTGACATAAATCTGCTCACAGCTCCCACTGCATGGGCAATGTCAGGTCTCGTGCATACCATGGCGTACATAAGGCTTCCGATGGCTGAAGCATAAGGAACCTTAGTCATGTAATCTTTCTCTTCATCAGTCTCGGGGCACTGCTCCTTAGTCAATCTGAAATGACTAGCTAACGGTGTGCTGACAGCCTTAGCACCACTCATCCCGAATCTCTCAAGCACCCGTCGAATATACTCAGCCTGAGATAGTCGTAGAGTGCCTAAGAGTTTGTCTCTGCTGATCTTCATTGCCAATATCTGCTTCGCTGCGCCTAGGTCCTTCATGTCAAACTCACTCGACAGCAGCTTCTTCAGCTTCTTGATCTCTCTCATGTCTGAGCCGGCCACAAGCATGTCGTCGACATATAGGAGCAGGATGATGTAACTCTTGTCAAACTCTTTGACAAAACAACAATGATCAGCATTGCACCTGGAGTAACCGTTCCTGTGCATGAATCCATCGAATTTTTTGTACCATTGCCTTGGAGCTTGTTTTAGGCCGTACAAGCTCTTCTTCAATCTGCATACCATCTTCTCTTTTCCCTTCTGAGTAAACCCCTCTGGCTGCTGCATATATATCTCTTCCTCTAGATCACCGTGGAGGAAAGCTGTCTTTACATCTAGCTGCTCGAGATGTAGATCTTCAGCTGCAACAATACTCAGGACTGTTCTGATGGTAGTCAGTTTGACTACTGGAGAGAAGATCTCTGTGTAATCAACTCCTTCTCTCTGCTGAAATCCTTTAACCACCAATCTGGCCTTGTATCTCTTGGAACCATCATGTTCCTCTTTGATTCTGTACACCCACTTATTGCTCAAGGCCTTTTTCCCCGTTGGTAGCTTCGCAAGTTCCCATGTCTTGTTGGTGTTCAAGGATTTTATTTCATCTTTCATGGCGAGCTCCCACTTGCTCGCATCATCCACTCGAAGAGCCTCATCATAACTTTCTGGCTCTCCACCGTCACTCAAAAGTAGGTAATTGAGATAAGCTCTGGGCTGTAGTGATGGGTACCTCGGATTAGGCTTGGGAAATCTAGCAGACCGCCTCAACTCTCTAACGGGCGAAACAGGCTCTTCATCTTCATCTGCCCCCTCTGAAGTGGTCTCATCCATCATCTCTTCTTCTTCATCAGAACTAGCTTCGGGATTGCCTCCACCTCATCTGACTCGAAATATGTAGGATCACTCTGCATCGAGCTAGTGGGCTGAACTGCATCACGGTCTTTGTAGAGGACTGATTCGTTAAAGACCACATCCCTGCTTCTGATGATTTTCTTGTTTTGCTCATCCCAGAACTTGTAGCCAAACTCATCGCCGCCATAGCCAACAAAGAAACATTTTAAGGACTTAGGATCGAGTTTGCTTCTAGCATGATCACTCAGATGTACATATGAAACACATCCAAATACTCTCAGGTGAGAGAGATTTACCTGCTTTCCACTCCATACTTCTTCAGGTATTTTGTGCTCCAAAGGCACTGATGGTCCCCGGTTGATCAAGTAGGCAGCTGTGTTGACTGCTTCTGCCCAGAATTGCTTTGGAAAACCTGCTTGTAACCGCATACTTCTGGCTCTCTCAGTCAATGTTCTGTTCATGCGTTCTGCTACGCCATTCTGCTGGGGTGTACCTGGCACTGTCCTCTCTAATCTAATGCCGTTGTCATAACAGAACTTCTTGAACTCTGAGTCTTCATACTCGCCGCCGTTGTCAGAACGAAGCTTCTTGATCTTCAAACCGGTCTCGTTCTCAACCATAGCCTTCCATCGCTTGAAGACTTCAAACACTTCTGATTTGTGTTTCATGAAATAGACCCAAGTCTTCCTCGCGTGATCATCTATAAAGGTCACGAAATATAACCTTCCGCCGGTGGATGGAACTGATGCTGGGCCCCACACATCTGTGTGAACTAACTCAAGCTTCTCTTCTTTAGGAGTTCTGCCAACCCTTTTGAAGCTTATTCTCTTTTGTTTCCCTAGAATGCAGCTTTCACATAGGTCAATATCAGCCGATCTCAAACCTGGTAACTTCCCGTTCGATTGCATAACCTTTAGGCCTTTGCTACTCATGTGACCTAGCCTCTGGTGCCACAAATTTGGGTCTTCACTGCCTTCAGCCACTGCAATGGAGCCTCGTGCATCTATCGTCATGTAGAGAGATCCCGTCTTCGTACCACGGGCAACAACCATGGATCCCTTTGTAACCTTCCATGTATCACATGCAAAGGTTGATACGTACCCCTCTTTCTCCAATTGTCCTATGGAAATCAGATTTTTCCTCAAGCTAGGAACATGTCTCACATCGCTCAACTTCCATGTAGACCCATTGAGCTTGATTTGCACAACTCCTTTGCCAACAATATCACAAGGCTGATCATCACCAAGATAGACCTTTCCTAGGTTTCCTGAAACGTAGTTCTCAAATAAATCTCTATTTGAGGTAGCATGAAACGAAGCTCCTGAATCCAGCACCCACGATTCAGTTTTGCTCTCCAACGAACAGATTAGGGCATCATCTGATTCTCCTGAGGCCACGTTCGCTTCAGTCTTGTTCTCCTTGTCCTTCTTGGGTTCTCGGCACTGATTCTCATAGTGGCCAAACTTGCCACAATTCCAGCAATCGATCTCCTTCTTGCCCTTGCGGTTCCTGGACTTTGGCCTTCCGTTCCTCGAGTTAGATCTTCCTCGGCTACTCCCTCTATTTCTGTTTCTGTTTCTTCCTATGCCCTCAAGATTCAAGGCCGACCCTGAATTAGAAATCCCTTCCTCTTGTCTTCTTATTTCCTCAGTCATAATCATGTCCACCACCTCTGAAAACTTCAGTTTTGATTTGCCACATGATCCGCTGATCGAGATAACGGTACCCTTCCAACTGTCGGGCAATTGACCAAGTATCAAGAGGGCTTGGATTTCATCGTCAAACTGAATATTGACCGAGTTTAGTTGATCCGTGATCTCGTTAAACTCGTTCAGGTGTTCCTTGAATTTCTGGCTCTCGGACATCCTCAAATTAAACAACTTTTTAATGAGATGTACCTTATTCGCCGCAGAGGGCTGCTCATACATACTGGACAACGCCGCCATGAGATCCGCCGTCGTATTCTGATTCTTGATGTTGAACGCTACTGATTTAGACAAGGTCAACCTGATCGCTCCAAGGGCCTTTCGATCCAATAGCTTCCAATCCGCATCTTTCATATCCGTCGGCTTCTCTCCCAATGGTAGGTATAAATCCTTCTGATAGAGGTAGTCCTCCATCTGCATCTTCCAGAACCCGAAGTTTGTTCCATCAAACTTCTCAATCTTGGATGTTTCCTTCTCAGATCCCATTGTCTCTGACCTCAAATCGCTCGCGCCGAACCTGGTCGCTCTGATACCACTTGTTGGGGATGCACAACCCCCCTGATGCGATTTGGAAATAGAGATTTAGGAGAGAAGAGAGAAAATCAAACAATCTCAAACACACAAGATTTACGTGGTTCGCTTCTCAATGTGAGAAACTACGTCCACGGCCGCCGCAGGAGAAAAATTCACTATTTTTCGTCTCTTTACATCATGCCCTAATCAACCCTTTTATAGACTTAAGGGTTTAACCAATAAAAAAGGAAACAGAACAAAACAGGTTAAAATTCGAAACTGGGCCAAAACCCGACTCCGGTCGACCGCAGCACCACGTGCGGTCGACCGCGACGAATCCTATTCCTGATCGAGCTCTCTGGACTTTGGGCGGTCGACCGCAGCGCCATGTGCAGTCGACCGCGATGCTGTCTGCAGTCTGGACTTGCTCTCTGGACTTTTGCCGGTCGACCGCAACGCCATGCTCGGTCGACCGCGATGAGCTCCTGGCCTGTGCACCCAGCTGTGCACGACGTCGGTCGACCGCCGCGCCATGGCCGGTCGACCGCGATGCAGAAAACTGTCTCCTTCGTCGTTTTGCTTGAACTTCTCCATCGTCGATCCTGTTCCTCCTGTTCCAACTTTGTTCCTCCTCTCTTCTGAAGTATAGGGCATGCTTGATAGTTAGACTTCACATATCCTAACATGTTTTTCATGAGGGGCTCTTTCGTTACTCAAGCATACCAGGTATTTGTGCGTTACTGTAGTTCTGATCGTGTAACTTGTTCTCATAACATGTTCATGGCTGTAATTGCGTTTTATAAGCCCCATCAGCGCATTGCAAGGCATATATACAGTGGTTGGCAGTCACAGGGTGCTGAATGGAGCTACTGTTTGGTTCACATTGTAGGAGCATGAAATTGATTTTCATGCTTGTCATCAGTATTCCAAGAATGAGTTTTCAAAATCTCAATCCAAGAATGAGTTATATCTTGTGTTTGGCTGGTATGATAATTTATGGAAAATAGTTCTTGGAAAGATCGACCACGTTTTTTTTTCATGAAACCCCTTTCCTCCCTCAAAACCTCCAAAATGGATTTCACAAGCCATGAAATAGGTTTCAATTTTTTTTTAAAAAAAAAAAACCCAATCAAACAGCCCCTAGACATTTCAAAGGTTTCAGTATTTGAGTAAAATGGATGTTTCTGCTTTTTCTTTTTTCTTGCATGGAGTCTTTTGTGGACATGGTGCATAAACTGGCATTACCATATTCATATGTATTTTTTTATTCTCGTATACATGGATAACAAATTACATTCATATTGGACAAATACGACTTAAGATTCTCATCCAATGCGGATAGTAATCAGATGTTATTGAAGATTGCCATTCAATTTTTTTAATTGAGGTATACACCAATAGAGCTAATTTCATGCTACATTACAAAATACGATTTATTGTATCTCTATTTAGTTACATACTCTAAAAAATATGAAAAATATTTAGCAACAGCATTCTCCATATTCATTTCCCCTAAATCTACATCCTTTCTCCCTTTTAGCTTCGCTCCACTTGCAGAGCTTCGGAGGGACAAGAGAAAGAAAATCTATCCCTTAAAATTTACAATAAAAAAACCCCGGGTAAGCAAAACGCATTTAAGATTTCAAATTTTGAAGGTCAGTTATATTTTATTTTATAATTGTAGTAATTATTTTCCTTTCTCTTGGGACCTTACACATTTCTTTCAATTTGAACAAATTGTTGAGATTGACCCTATTCCCTACTAATCCCTTCATGAGATAAGAAACAAGATTTGTGGACCGACGATTCTGTGTTTTGTTAATTTCAAAATTTTGACTCGAGAGTTTCCGTTGTGTTACACCAAAATTTCGACTCGAATGTTTCCAAACGGTAGGGTACCTAGGGGTGTCCATATTTGACCATTTGACCGATTTGCCCCTTAAAACGGTCAAAAAACAGCTAGAATATGAGGGTTTTTTGATCATTTGCCTAGGGGCTACCTTTATAAATAGAGGGGGTTTTCACTTCTTCTCTTCACACCAAAACTCTTCTACTTCTCTCTAATACTCTCTTATATAATATTATACTCTCTTATAATCTCTTATATTTTCTAATACTTCTATCAAATGGCTTCTGGATCTGATTATGAAGAGCAACACCTATCTCCTACCGATCCAGAAATGAGTCCTCCTACAACAACTACTACTCCTCCTATCGGTGTTAATCCTGAATCTGGTGGCGATGAATCTACTGCACCAAGAGCTCCTAAAAGGCCGAGATCCGATGTGTGAATTTTTTTTGAGAAGATAGACGTCACCAATGATGAACACGGTAGGATCATCTCCTAGAAGGCAAAATGTACGTTGTGCGGTCAGGTTTTCCAAGTTCATCATAAGAGCGGCACCAACCATCTCAAACGCCATATAGAAAAACGCAACAAAGGGCAGAATCTTCAAGGTGATATCCGACAGTCTATGATTTCTCAATCATCCTCTTCTGATACCCTCGGTAGTTGGAATTATAACGCTACCCGAGATAGAAAATGCGTAATCAGGTTTATTGTTCTTAAAAACATGCCTTTTAAATTAGTAGAAGATGATGAATTTGAAGATTTGTTTATAAATGGTTTTTATCATGCATTTATAAAATTTTCTCGTCAAACCTGTCAACGTGATATTTTAAAATATTATCAAGAGGAACAAGGAAAAATAATTTCTTATTTTAAAAATTTAAACTGTAATTTTTTTTAACTTCTAATATTTGGACATCTAGAGTACAAACTAGTTATTTATGTATTACAGCACACTGGATTGATAAAAATTGGCAAATGTTTAAAAAAGTTGTTTCTTTTATTGCAATTGAAGAGTCACACACTGGTATTAATATTGCAAATTTAATAATTGAAGATTTCTTTTATTGCAATTGAAGAGTCACACACTGGTATTAATATTGCAAATTTAATAATTGAAGAACTTATGAAACTAGAAAATTAATATTGCAAATTTAATAATTGAAGAACTTATGAAACTAGAAATTGATCAAAGAATATTTTCTCTTTAAATAGATAATGCAAATAATAACAATGTAGCTGTTGATTTTATTAAAACAACTCTGTCATTGCCATGTCATGGTGACCTTTTTCATGTTAGATGTATCTGTCATATTTTAAATTTAATTATTCAAAGTGTATTTTCTAAAATTAAACCCATGATAGAAAAGATTAGAACAGTTGCTAATATGCATAATACTTCTGAAATGAGAATTAAAAGATAAAAACAATATTGTAAAAGAAAAAATTATAAGCCTAGACTAATTTCAAAAGATGTTGACCATAGGTGGAATTCCACATATGCAATGTTAAGTGTAGCAATAGAATATAAAGAAATTATAAATAATTTTATAAATTTTTATGCTTCTAGTTCTAGCTCTGGTAGCACTTATGAAATAAGTGAAGATGAATCACTACAACAGAAATGCTAATCCGCGAGGAACAAGTTTGTCGTTGAAAGTCGAGATTTTTTTGCCGTAGTGTGTTGGCGAGGAAAAAACATTGGTCACCATTTCCTCGCGGTAAGTTGGTCAAGAAAAGTTTCTGCGAGGAATATTATAATTTCTCACGAAATCCTTTTTGCGATGAATATATTCTTTTCTCGTTGTTACTCTTTAGCCTCGATATTTTTCCTCACCTAATCTCATGCCTTTTTCATCGCTAAACTACAGTTTCCTCGCCAATGATATGTGAATAATATTTAATTTATATATAATAAAAGTTCTAAAAAAACTATTTTTGTCGTTGTAAGTACCTTTCAACGAGAAAATTGTTCCTCACCAAAGGTAAATCATTAACGAGGAAATTGATTTTCTTCATTATATGTATCTTTTTCTCGTGGAAACAGTTCCTCAGTAAAGGGACTCAATGACGAGGAAATTTAAATTTGTCGTTGCAGGTTGTACCCCATAATCCTCGCCAAAGAAATTCAATTACGAGGAAATTTACATTTGTCAATATAGGTTATATGGTCTATAGCAAGGAAAATTATTTTTGCCGTTATAGGTTGTATCACTATAACGAGAAAATATGTTTTTGTCGACGTAAGCAGTATATTCTATAACGAGGAAATATTCTTTTGACGACATAAGTATGTGGTCTATTGCGAGGAAACATATTTTCGTCACCTTAAGTTGTAGGGTCTATTTCGAGGAAATTTACTTTCATCGACCTAAATATATAGCGAGAAAACTTATAATGAGGAAATTTTATTTCATCAATAATAATGCTATTACGAGAAAAACACAAAATATAAATAATTATCATTAATTGTCACCACAGTACATCAAAACAATTAAAATAAATAAAGCAAGAAAGATACTACCATAAGTAACAATGCTAGTCTAAAGTAATAACAAATGCAACAGGATCAAAAAAACATTTCTCCAAGTTTAAGTTCACTAAGAATACTAAGCTGATGGATGTTGCCTCGAAAAATTAGCCATAAACTCCTCAAACTTTTTGGCTTGCTCTTCCAATCTTTGGATTACCTCATTTTGCGCATCGATCTTCTGTTGTTGAGTTCCTACAAGTTGTTGGGTCTCTTGAAGCTGTTCTTGCAACTCTTTATTCTTTTCAGACATTTCACTCATTGAAGAACGAGAGAACCTTAATGGTGGTGGTCTAGGGCCAAAACCACAGCCCTTAATGTAGCCTGATTTGACTTTGAGAACTTTTGCACAAATTTCCTCGTCTGTCATTGTTCGAGTTCCATCAGGTTGAGTGGTATCTGTTCGCATCTTTATCATTTGATCCTATAAGTAAAAAAAAATATATCCAGTTCAATCATATGCAACTTCTTAATTACAACCTAATCAATATAATCCTCTTTAGAACAGTAATATCAGTTTCACCTATATTCTTAAAATATTATAAAAGCATGCATCATTGACACGTTACTTACCCATTTTTTCTTTGCTCCCAAGTCCCATCCTTTTTTTGTACTTCTATACTCTGTTTCAAAATGATCAATTGCACCTTGCATCTCTCCAGTCTGTGTGCCTATTGCATTCAAACATATTTTTATTTTTAGCATATATATATGTACACAATTAAGTTACAAATTTATAAGCAAAACTAAAAAATGTCTTACAACTTGCTCTTGGTGTGACATAAATAATTTTGACCCAGCTTTGTGGTGATATGTCAACTTTAACCTATTAAGAACATTCTTCTCTGAGCGAATCTAAAATTATTAAGACATACAATTAGAAAGAAGTAAATGAAAAAAAGGAAAAATGTAATGCGTGGAGAAAAATAAAAAAAATATTGTACCTTAAACTTTTCACTAGAAAAATGAGTGCAAAGAAACTCCCATTCTTCCTGAGTCTTGACAGCTTCATGTTTGTTTTGAATTGCCTCCTCAATTGTTGAAAACCGCTCAAAATGTTTCTTCAACTTATAGCGAAAATTATAATATACGGTCTGACATGTTGTAATTACATATCTCTGGACCCAAGGGAACGACATATCAAATTCAAACTTATTCTGCACAGGCATAATTTCATGTCAAACTAAATATAACAAATCAAAGTAACCAATATAATGCCTTTAGAAAAACAAAGGCATAATTTCATGTCAAACTAAATATAACAAATCAAAGTAACCAATATAATGCCTTTAGAAAAACAAATCATTACTAACCTACATTCTTTTGATCAAGTTCTCCACATCTGCTTTTTCAATCTTCTTCCATTTTTCCACATTCAGTGGGGCATAGTTTCGAATTGTGTAACCAATTTCATTTGCAAACATCTCAGCATAAGGGCCCGTAGGTCTGCCATTTTCTTCAGTCAGAGTCACAGGTATTTTAGAATTCAATTGGGAGAACACCTTATCTGCATTCACTCCTCTTGTCTTCCCTCGCACCTTTTTGGTTGTACCTTTGACATAATTTTTATTAAGAACATAACACATACGTATATTTAATTCTCAAAATATTTGTATATAATATTTTGTATACCTGGAGGAGGCTCCTGATTAATATCTGACATCAAATTATCATCTCGCTCTTCAGCTATGGTGTTTACCACTAGCTGATCATTAACACTTTGTTGCTGAAGACGTGCACTAACTCTAATCCCTGTCATTCGAGTTTGTAGTTCAGGTATACCCTTGTAATTTGTAATTGATGAAAATGAAATTCAATTCAGCTTCTCTACACCTTTTAGAGGAAAATAATTCAATTCAGCTCAATTCAACTGAATTCAGCTCAATTCAACACCACTTACCAGTAGTAGTTCGTTCTGTGGTGACAACAGTACTACTAGAATTCAGTCCATCTGCTACAGAATTTTGGCATTCTTGATTGGAAGTTTGCAGACGAGTACGTTTTGTACCTATTAGCATACACACTTGTTAGATAAGTAAAAACTAACATTACTTAAATATTCTAGCAGTAAAATGAAGATTGCATATTTACTCGTATTAGAACCGGATCCATTCCCTGTAGAATTCACGTATGGCAGATAACTAGTTGTTGCATGAGAACGTTTCTTTTTCAATAATTCTGCATGTGATTGATTACTTGGTGCATTACATGTTGTTACATAAACGTTAAATTTATAACAATATTCTAATCAACCAAGTGAATGAATCATGAATTATAAGAGAAATATGCACTACTTACCAGAAGTAGAACTCTGAATGATAGCCGCTTTGTTACGGTACATCTTCTCATGGTTTATTATCAAATAATTAGAATGGTCAAAATGCAAAAGAATGTAACATTCATCTATTTGAATCTTTACCATGTTTATATGAGTCTCAAAGAAAAAATATTGATGTCTGGGACCAAACCGAATTATCATGTTCCATGCAATAAAAGGACTTCTAAATTGATTTTAAAACACAGAAACATGGATAAGGACCAAACCGAATTATACCCATGGATTGATTGAGATAATATTGATGTCTGGGACGTTGAAGAAACAAGGCATTGCATTATAATGTGCATGAATAGAAAAATTGATGATCCTAAGAGGTATAAATCTTTACTTTGTTGACCTTAAGCAGGATAAAGCTTTACTTCGTTGAGCGTCACCTATCAGAGCAATTTTGTGTTTGAATTTTAAAACTATCGTCTTGAATTAAATATCTCGAAAAATAAGAATTCATAGTCTAAATCATAGTCTAAATCATCTCATATTTGTTGGCCGTGCATCTTAGTCATAGTGTTTTCAACTGATACTGGCTGATATTGTTGCTGGCTTGCAGTAACTCAAAGATGCACTACAATTCTAGATGCACTACAATTCAAGGCACCAGTTGATATTTTTGTTTGGGTGGCAGTGACGCATTATACAGTTAGCCTCAAAGCAAACAGTGCAATTAGCTTTCAAATTTATACTAGTATTCTTACATGATTACAATGAATAGTTTGTGGATATTTCGCAAATATTAAAAAGTACATGTCTTATAAGGTAATCCTACAACCTCAATAAGCAACAACTTCTTACCTAGTCACAAAGAAAGATTTAACATCTTGCTGTGGATCTATGATCCTTGATGTTGTCTACCTAGTCCGCACTATTATAAGCATTGAGGAAAAGTGTCAAGAAAGCTGAGAAGAAGATTTCTCTATATGGACGGATCCATGTAGAGATCTATTGGGAACTTGCCCCATACAACTCTTGTTTTCTTATTGTTGGGCTGCATTTACAGCATTAGAAGATATGAAAAAACAAGGAATCCCTAGCAAACCTGCTGATCAACTAACTATAAGCACATAAATTCAACAAAAAAAAGGAATCTATTCTTTACATATTATTTAAAACAGATTACTGGGATAGTCTGCTAAAAAGGATTTAATGTTGCGACCTTTATGTAGTTTTATTTAAATGTCAGGGATAGTCTGCTAAAAAGGATCTCTTCTTTACATATTATTATTTTTCGTCTTGCTATTTAGAGTTTTACGCAATTACACCTTTAACAACACAAGTAAAGTTGATGATCTTGTTCCTGTCTTCTATGTATGAATGAGTAAAATAAAGTAAGCATGATGCACATGGTTATTGCTAATTGTGCAAAGTGAAAAGCGGGAGTTGTTCAGGTAAATACATTCTTCAATAGTATATTCAAAGTCATGCATGGTAGCAATATAAAATCAGGCACAATGGGTAGTGTGGTTCTAAGCTAAACCTTGTAAACATTAATCCATAATGCCTTTCATATCCTCTTAGCCTTTATCCTACTGTAGGTTTTACAAAGAAGAACTCCCAGTCCCATGTGACAATACAATTCTATCCAGAAGGTATGCATCACACTTAGACCATGTCCTTCTGCAGTGCTCAAGGTCAACAGAGTAATAGGAACAACTTTTAATCTGTTATGTGCCCAAACGATTATGTAATCAATAAGTTCTTGCCAGTATGACGGCTGTCTAATAACAATATTAAGCTAAAAGCAGTGTAACCAATATATTAAAGAGAAATAAACAATATATTAGACTTTAATTACACTTACAGGTCTGACAAGTGTTGAGTGACCCCAAGCAGTGTAACCAACACTAGTATCCCGAGCAGGGGAACAAGTTGCCACAAATAACTGAAAAGACAAAAGATTACATAGTATATAAAGTAAACTGTATAAAGCTAAATGTCATTTGAGTAACAATACTGGAACAATTTTCAACCTATTTCAATAAAAATAAACTGAAGTATTGAACAAAGGCATAAAGTAAAATATTGTTGAGTTAATGTCTTATCTACTTTCAATGTGATTATATGAAGACCAAATTTGGTTTTGAATGGTTCAAGGGTTTATCAATAGTTCTATCCTTTATGTCAAAGGATGTTTTATTGATCAGAAAATCTAGAAGATAATCAAAAAAATAACAGTAAAATTATAGCTACATTTATCAAATTATGTCAAACTAAAACATCCGGCACAAATCAAAAAAATAACATTAAAATTATGATATAAACTAATCACTATCCTCATCATCACTTGAAATGATTGGTTCTTCATCACCATCTTCTGGATCATCTTCTTCTTCAGTATCATCATTTATCAAATTATCTTCACTACCATCATTCATCCAATCATCGTTCACAACCTCTGAAGCAACAATTTCTGGGTCAATATCGTTAAGATGCAAATCTGGAGTTTCAAGGCCCTCTTCTTGAATGAACCAGTGAACATCATTAAACTCGTATTGTTGATAAGCATCATTTGTCACAGGATCTACATCATCCTCAACTATCACTCCACTTGTATCCTCGACCTCCGGAACATCCCACATGTTTCTCAATTGCACCTTTTGTACAACTTTCCAGGATGAACCCAACTTACAGTCATCGAGATAAAACACTTGTTGGGCTTCCATAGCAAGTATGAATGGTTCATCATCATACCACGTAGAGCTTGTATTAATGCTAGTAAGATTATAATCATACCGTATCATTCTTCTCCTTTCGTCTCTACTTGATTCGTCGATGTTGAACCATTTACACTTGAATAAGAAAACTTGATTCATATCTAAGTACGTTAACTTCATAATACTTAGCAAAACACCATAATAATCATGACTTCCGCCAATGAAAACTCCAGGGACATACACCCCACTATTTTGAGTTGTCCGATGATCATCAAGATCTTTTGTATGATATCTAACTCCATCCATAATACAACCAGTGTATGTATGAACACGTAAATCTGGTTTACATGCTAGACAATAAAGCTTCTCATCAGTTGCATCCATCAATCCATTTTCTCTCTTTTTAATCATCTACGAATAACAATTGAAACAAGTGTTGGCCTTCTTGTTTTGATGATGTTTAACAAACAATTTACCACTAATGTTGTTTGTCTAGTATTTGTGTTTTCTTATTTATTATAGACAAACAACGTAGTTGGAGGATGGATGAAATAGAGCTTCAACGATGAAATCCAATGGAGGTTGGCGGAATGTCAGTGAAGCCTTGCAATTCAAAGTTAAAGATCAAGTTCAAGCTTCATCCGCGAGATTACCAAGTTCAAGCTTATTGAAGATCAAGATCAAGCTTGGGTAACTTAGTTTACGTTTTATATTATGTGTGTTAGATACTCTAAGCTCAATATAATATACACACACATTTTATTGGTTTCTTCGTATATGTGTGTTAGTACCTTAAGCTCAATATCTCTACACACACATTTATTGGTTTCTTCGTATATATATATATAGTTATATATATATATATATATATATATACATATGTTTTGGTTTCTATGCATATATATAGTTATATATATACATACATGTGTTTTGAGTTTTTATGATTATATATTTCATATTTTCTATCGTGTTTTTGAAAACATTGCATAGAATATGCAATTTTGTGAAAATATTATTTTATTAGTTTATAGACTTCAATATCAGTTTATACATATTTTATTAAGTCTATATAATAATTGTGCAAAGTTTCAAAACATGGTTTAGCCAAAATATCAAATTTCACATGTTTACATTTTCGTGTTTTGAACTATTTTGCAAAATGATGATTTTTCACAAATGGGAAATGCAATTTGGAAAATTCTTTTTGTAACATGTTCATTTACATGTTTATATACTTTTCCCAAAGTTTCATAATTTTTAGACTTCATTTGTTATTTTTAACATATTTTTAAAGTCTCAAAAATAGCTTTAAAAACATGTTTTGAGTGTATCAGATTTTGGTCGACCGCACCGGTCGACCGAACCTGAGTTCTCGTGTTCACTGGGCGACAGAGAGTCTGTCGGTCGACCGGTCCGGTCGACCGATGAAATTTTCCGGTCGACCGACAGTGACTTTTTCAGCTTCCAACGACTAGTTTTCCTACCGTTGCTTGGGGCTGTTTTTTGTCTTTTGCTTGGGTTTTTGGCTGAGTTCTTGGGAGGCTATATATGTCTTTTGCTTGGGTTTTTGGCTGAGTTCTTGGGAGGCTATATATACCCCCATTGTATTCAATTCTAAATTTGTACAAGAGAATGGTTTAAAAGATTTTAACAAGAGTTTAAACTTGTTTAGTGTTTGTTTAAGTTTGTTTTAAGAAGCTTTTAAGCATTTGAGTGTTTCGGTTTTGTGATTCAATTCTACAAGAGCTTGAGGAGATCATCTATTGGTGTTTGGGCATCCAACTCTTCTCCCTCCACTCTTGATATATTGAGAAGTTTTCTAAACTCTATTTCTAGCTATTTTATATATTTGATTATCATTGTTATTTAGCTAGAACTACATTGAGTTTAGTTTTTGATTTATATCTCTTTGTTCACACACAACCTTTTGAGCTTATTGTATTTACATACATAGTATATTAGGGTTGTGAGAGATTGTAACATTGAGTTATGCTTAATTGTGTTCTCATCTATTGTCGGGTGAGCGTAGAAAACCCGGTTGTGATAATGGATTTCTCCCCGGGAGTGGGGAGCGGAGACGTAGGATGGAAGGTCCGAACTCCGTGATCATATTGCTTGTTTGAGTTTGTCTTTGGCGTATTTGTTTTTGCATTTATCTTATATCGCCAATTGTGCATTGCTCATTACCATATCATCCACTATCTTTTTTAGATTATCTACCCTTGTGTTGTTTATATATCCTTGCACATACATTGCCTATATCTCATTATTAGGATATATATTGTTGTTCATATTGCTTATCCTAGCTTACAAATATTGTTGTATTTCATACTTGCTAGGATAACTTATTAATTAATTTTAATTGGCATTTAATCGGATTAGATTAGCATAAGACCCTAATCACCACCCCTCTAGGGTCTAACAACAAGAAAGTTAGCATAGTGGTCATATACAATAAATAACTACTCTTTAAAATTGTGTATGAACTTACTTTTTTTTCAAACCAATCAGGGAACTCATTTTCTTGTCTTTCAAACAACCTATGGTTACTTGTTTGCCTTAACTCATCCTCGTGTTCCCTACAGGAACAAATTAGATAATTCAATCTCTAATCTGAATTAAAAAAATTGAACTCAATACACACAAATGCAAAAAAGACACTTACTTGAGATAAGGTTTCACCTCGTCACAGTTGTATAGTACATATCAATGAGCTTTATTCACTTCCTTCCGGTCTAGTAATATATATTTTTTTCTGTAGAATGAACGAACTTTCTGAGAGAAAATCGATAAACCATCTACTACTTGGTCATCTTCTACATCGACATTTCGTTCTGCCCGATTGATACGGGTTTCAATCTCACAAAAATACATAGAACAAAATGACACTGCTTCATTGACAATATATGCTTCTGCAATAGAACCTTCAGGTCGAGCTTTATTTGTAACATACTTTTTATATGTTCCTAAATTTCTTTCAATAGGATACATCCACCGATAGGTAACTGGACCACCAAGCAAAGCTTCACGAGGTAAATGGACTGCCAAGTGAACCATTACATCAAGAAAAGCTGGTGGAAAAATTCTCTCTAATTTGCACAATATTATAACAATATCCTTCTCCATTCTTTCCAAGTCTGACACCTTTAAAGTTTTTGCACATATCTGTTGGAAAAAAATGGCCAGCTCAACAATTGCAGTGCACACATCCTTGTCCAAATATGAACGAATACCAACTGGGAGGAGGCGTTGAAGTAAAACATGGCAATCATGACTTTTTAAATTATGTATCTTCCCATCGACAATGTTCACATTTTTGCAAATATTGGCAGCATATCCATCAGGAAATTTGACAACTTTGAGGAACTTACAAAACAGCCTACGGTATTCCAATTTTAAAACATATCTAGCATGAGTCTTCTTCAATTTATTCCCTTGACGTGTGAGATGCAATTCTTTTCTTATCTTCCTATCTGCCAAGTCCAAACGAGCCTTGTTGGTGTCTTTTGTTTTCCCATCTATATTCAACAAAGTACCAATGACACTATCACATATATTTTTTTCAACATGCATCACATCAATATTATGTCTCAACCTGAGCTTGGACCAATACTCTAACTCAAAAAGAATACTCTTTCTAGTCCAGTTTAGCTCATGAGGCTCACGGTGTCGCTTTAAATCAGGATTGTCAGAATGTTTTCCAGGCCTAGCTTTATAAACACGATCTAATTGCCGCAATATGTCATCCCCAGAAAATAATCTGGGAGGAGGACGATCTTCAACTAAACTGTTAAAATATTTACTCCTTCTCCACTCATGATCCTCAGGCAAATTTCATCGAGCTCCCATAAAACATAATTTTCCTCTCAACCCCTCAGAAGTTACATCTTCGTTACAAACAGGACAAGCTTTGTACCCTTTTGTGCTCCACCCAGATAAATTTCCGTAAGCAGGAAAATCATTTATAGTCCACAATACACATGCCCGCAAATTAAAATTTCTCCTAACAGAAGCATCAAAAGTTTCAACTCTAATATACCATAATTCTTTTAATTCGTCTATTAATGGACGAAGATACACATCAATGTCTTTCCCAGGTGCTCGAGGACCAGGTATGAGTAATGACATCATTGAATACACTCCTTTCATGCATTTCCAAGGAGGCAGATTGTACGACACTAGCATAACTGGCCACATACTATAACTAGTGCTCATGTTTCCAAATGGATTAAAACCATCTATAGCAAGCCCCAACCTCACATTTCGACAATCTGCAGCAAAATCAGGATACTCTTGATCAAAGTGTTTCCACTCGGCAGAATCAGCTGGATGTCGTAGGAAACCCTCTTTATTTTGTCTTCTTTTTTTATGCCATTTCATTTCAGTCGCTGTATGTCTCGACATATACAATCTCCGAAGTCTCGGCTTCAAAGGAAAATAACGCAAGAATTTTTGTGGAACTTTCTTGCGTTTGCCATCACAAGACTTGTATCTCGGCTCCTTGCACACTGGACATTCATCCAGTTTCTTATTCTCTTTCCCATAAAACAGTGCATAGTCATACTTGCATGCATGTATGGATTCATACCCCAAGCCCAATTCTAGCAACATATTTTTGGCTTCATAGTTCGATGTTGGTATGGATGCACCTTTTGGATACGAGTCATTTACAATTTCAGTAGATTTTTAAAACTTTTATTGCTCCAACGACCATCTATCTTGATCTGTATTAATTTTATAATAAAAGATAATGCAGAGAACTTTGTACAACCCGGGTACAGTTCTCGTTGAGCTTCATTAAACAAATAATCATATTTGTTAACATAAATATCGTTCTCATCATCTGTCTCCATACTTATAGCCCCTTGGACATCATTTAACATGTCCAACATCGCAGCATTGTCATCATCATCATCATCGCTGTCACTTTCAAAATCCTCATACATTTGGTCGTCTGCGACATCAACAAAATCTTCCCCGTGCTCAGTCCATGTCGTGTAATATTGTGCAAACCCATTTACAAGTATATGTCTGCGTATCTCGAGTAGAGAAAGACACGGCAAGGCATTTTGACATTTAACACAGGGGAAACGCGTCTTATTTTCATGATCTAGGTGTTGTTTCGCAGCATCCAGAAATGTTTTTAAACCATTGGTGAAGTCAGGGTTGTGAAACCTATCTCTAACAAACATCCAACTTCTGTCCATCATGTACCTATAATAAAAAACAAGGGGTTCCCCATTGAGAAACAGTATGACCAATCATAAAAAAGATACATAACCAACACTTGTACCTATGATCTAACTTACCTGTGGTTAATCGATAATTATAATATTTTTTTGTTAATTAAGTGATAAAAATGAGATATTAACGTTGATTATTGATTTATTGAGGTACACTTCAACAGCCATAGACAAAATCAAGCATAAAAGAACTAGTTACTACATGGTTGAGCTTCATTATCAGGGAGGACTAGAGAATAATCATTGTCGCTGTTTTATACCCATTTTGGGTGGGTGAATATTTCTTTTACCATCCGAAAATACCAACAGTAAAGTGATTTTGTCTCAAAATCCTTGAGGGCCAAGTCAAATTACAATATTAAATGATCTGCTCATCTTGGAAAATGATATAGATTCAAGACTAGTTACTAACATATTTAAGGAAAATGATTTTCACCTTTTTACATCAAAAATATAAATAACTAAAATGTTTTGCATTTATCTCATCACCATTTCATTACATTTTTGGGGAGGACCAGAGAATGGTCAGTGTCTATCTTGTGTACCCATTTTTGGTGGGTAAGTATTACTTTTACCACCAGAAAATACCAGCAGTAAAGTGGTTTATTAGTGTTAAATCAAATAACAAAATCTAATAACCACAAAAATGCTAATCTTGGAAAAGAATATAGGTTCAGGGCTAGCTACTAATACATTTAGAGAAAATGTTTTCACCATTTTACTTCAAGAAAATGAAGGTAACTAAAATGCTTTGCATTATTGTCACTATGTCATTACTTTACTGGGAGGATAAGGGAATGGTCATTGTCTATATATAACACTAACAAAGAACTAGTTACAAAATCAAGCTGTCAAACCAACTCAGAGAGCCACCGACCGTGTAGCTCTTGTACCCCTCCACGCTTCGAGAATTGAATGAGAAAATTAGAGAAGAGATGAGAAAAACTAGGGTCCAAAACTAAATGCATGATATTTTAAGGTAACTTCATGTTTACTTTTACCTTTTTGTTTCTCTTTTACACAGTGCCTAGGAGAAATATGAATTTGAGGTTGGTAGGACAACCGATTTCTCAAGGTAACTTCCTGTTTACTTTTACCTTTTTGTTTATCTTGATGTTGATGATTTGTTTTGTTTGCGCGTTGTACGTGATTCCATGGTTTTTATCCTATAAATAAGCACGTACTACAAAAATCAGTAGATTAAAAAAACCACACTTAAAATAAATTTTCTTTTTTCCAATTTTATCACATTTAAATATATCTATTGTAACTCTCTATTAAGAATTCTAAAGTTTGATAATCTGACTAGACTCCTAATGATGTTAGTCTTGATTGAAACGAAAAGAAAATTTTAAGATATGAACCAAAGAAATGATTAGATAGAAGGCAACTCGAACCAGTAAAAGGATCTAAAGAGGGACAACATATAACAATTGAGGAATATCTGAATAAGGCAACGAGTTTTTACCTCATTGCATTTATTCTGATATAGTTTATTGGATCAAGCTAAATCAAAGTTGATCAGTGTCTTCTCTAATTGTAATCGCATTTTGTAATGTTACTTTACAGAGCAATAAGTGCTACTTCCCTCAATATCCGGCGTCAGAAATGAGGCACTACAGCACACATTTTGCTTCTCAATATGATTAAAAAACTTCCTAGCTCCAATACATGTGGAAACTAAATTTTACCTAATAAAAAACGTTATACCTATTGGGTACTAAATTATAGGGTTGGTAGCAGGGACTATGGTTTGCTTACACTGATGCAAAATATCTTTAGTGCATAATATCTATTTAGGTAAGGAAATCATTTGCCTTGGTATTGAATTCTGCATACATGCAATAGTTGAATATACATTCATACAGCGTATAATTCTAGAATGACCTTGATTTCCTAACGAGATTTTTGACTTAGAACAGCAAATGTATGTTCCAAATTTAAGCTAGATACTCACAATTTTCTAATTGTTGAGTACGTGCTTCATGATTGCATCCAATATCCAACATATGACAGGTCTGTAATTCTATTCTCCCCATCAAACAGTTTGATACACAATAATTAAGGTTAAGATGTCCTGGAAAAAAACTGCTAAATTTTATTACTACCTCAGGTCTGTTAACATGGGAGTGTCAACTCCGTTAATAATATTGTTTATGTGAAAACATGCAATTTTGGATTATAAAAATTAAGTTATTGTCTGCTTGCTATATTGGATCATCTACATACATATATAAAACATTCTTACTGAGCGCAAGTTCATAAATTTTTAAATAAAACATATATAAAACATTGCTATATTGGATCATCTACAAACATATATAAAACATGGATTATTGACATTAAAGTAGACAACTGTTTCTAATAAGAACAATAGTTAGAAATTATACTACTATGTACATGGTTACGGAGAGTATTAGATTAATTTTTTTCTTTTAATCCTAAAAATAGTTCATAAATTTTCAAATAAAAATATACTACTATGTACAGAAAAAATTAGAAATTTCAAATTGGTTGAGGGAGAGCATGAAATATTTAGATCTTGATTACTGTTTTCCTAATAAGAACAATAACTAAAATTACTTCTTTTTTGTATAGAATAGAAAAGCAGAGAGTTTTTCTTTATAGAATTACATGCACAGAATCAACAAGGGATTGGGAATTTTTACAAGTTGAATGATTAATTTAATATCAAAAATAGGAAAATTCAAAATACCTTTGTGGGGGTGAGGCGATCAGCACATGCAATTGCCAGAAATCGGAAAGGGGTGAGACGCAACCACAATTGCACGAGGTCTTGATCGAAAAGGGAAAGCGAAGGTCTCAAGGTCTTGATCGAGGTGAGATCGGAGGTTTTTGAGAGGGGAGGTTTTTGGTCGTGGGGAGGTACTGGTCGGGTGGGAGGCTGAGATTGGAGGGGTTTTGAGGAGAAATAAAAATCACCGAGCTAGGTTTTGGGTCGTGGGGAATTCGCGGGTGGGAGGCTGAGAGCGGAGCGGTTTTGAGGGATAAATAAAAATCACCGCGTTTTGGTAATTATAATTCGTTTCCCCCGTTTTTTTAATCCCTACAAATTTAGTTTCCCACCTTAATTTTAATAAAAATATTTATTTTTTAAAATTTACTTTGAGATATAATTAGCAATTGTTTCAAATAGACAGAATAGATCAGATTTTATAATAACAGATAAAAATAAAACTCACACCTCAATTCGAGGATCACCAAAACTCAAAACAATAATATTGTCCATTAAAATTCAATTATAGTTCACCAACTGTACAAATAATCAAATCTAAAATAAGAGATTAAGAGGGCAATTGAAATTAACCCAAGTCATTTAAAGTCTGACGATAATTAGACCTTGATCTAGCATAAAACTTGACCTCGATTAATCAAACAAAAAAGATTTATACATATTAAGGAAGAAAATTGAAAGAATCTATGGGCGAAGTAATAAAAGATTGATTCTCAGTACTTACCAAAATTAAAAACTCAATAGATCGGCTGGATGTAAACGAGAACCTCTAAGTTTCAAAGTGCAGCACTGCAGCGCCGTGTTGAGATTGAGAGAGATATTAGGGTAAATCTATTTGAGAGAGATATTAGGGTAAATCTATTCATTCTTTTTTGTTCAAATTTTTTTTTTTTAGATTGGTCGCTATTTCTCCTGCTATTTTTTCGATACATGTAATTTCTCCGGCTTCCTCACCAGGACATCCCGCTTTTCTTTTAGATTGACGGTATATATGTTAGCTTTGACTCTTTCTTGTTTAAATTACATATTTCTCCATGTACACAGCATCAAAGAGAGTATATCTATTAAGAGGGTCAAATTTGATATTTTACTTTGACCATGTTTAGAGTTTAGGATTTAGGGTTTAGGGGTTAGGGGAAAATATAAACATATGTATATCTTTCAGCTATCTTTTCAAAGAGAAAATTTGTTGTGATCAAGATTGAAAGATCTTACTACAATAGGATACCCGGTTGAGGCATTAAAACATACTCAAAGTGGAAATATCTTGCTGAGGCATAAATATCTAATTGAGGCGGATATATCTATACAAGCTTAGAATGTATGATTTAATGAGTGTTTAGAATCGAAGTAATGCCTAAACTTGTGAGGAGAATCTCCCACATCTCAAAGCTAATGTAGTTTATATCTATTTTCATTGACAAATAGGAATAAAAGATTTCATTGCATGTTTGGTTTATATCTATTTGGCGGGTTTTGCATATTTTTCCACCAAACTAATAATGAGGAAACTATTATTTCCTTGCTAATTGATTCTTTTAACGAGGAAAGGGTTCCTCGTAAAACAAAAAAAAATTAGTGATGAAACATTCAATTTGTTGTCAATGAATTTGGCTGGTGTTGCATATTTTTTAGCCAAATTAATAATGAGAAAACTATAATTTCCTCGCTAATAGGTTCTTTTTGACGACAAAACGGTTCCTCATAAAACAAAAACTTTTAGCGAGGAAGCCTTAAATTTGTTGCTATTGAAATTGGTGGGTTTTGCACATTTTTCGCCAAACTAATAACGAGGAAACTATTATTTCCTTGCTAATTGGTTTTTTAACGAGGAAACAGTTCCTCGTAAAACATAAATTTTAGCGAGAAAATCTTTAATTTGTCGTAAATGAATTTGGCAGGTGTTGCAAATTTTTCTGCCAAATTAATAGTGAGTAAACTTTGATTTCCTCGCTAATAAGTTCTTTTTAACGAGGAAACGGTTCCTCGTAAAAACAAAAACTTTTAACGAGGAAGCCTTAAATTTGCCACCATTGAAATTGGAGGGGTTTTTTTTCCCGCCAAACTAATAATGAGGAAACTATTATTTCCTCGCTAATTGATTCTTTTGATGAGGAAACGGTTCCTCGCAAATTATGGATCTTCAGCGAGGAGATCATACTTTGTCGCTGTTACTTTTGGCGGGTTTTCCTCTATTTTTCGTCAAAAG